TCCTATCTCTGGGCACAACACTGTGTCCTGGTACCAACAGGCCCTGGGTCAGGGGCCCCAGTTTATCTTTCAGTATTATGAGAAGGAAGAGAGAGAGAGAGGCAACTTCCCTGGTCGATTCTCAGGTCACCAGTTCCCTAACTATAGCTCTGAGCTGAATGTGAACGCCTCGGAGATGGGGGACTCGGCCCTGTATCTCTGTGCCAGCAGCTTGGCACAGCCCAGCAGAGTCACTGACATTCTGTATGTAAACTTCCTGCCTTAGCTTTGACTTGAGAGCTGTAGGCCCCACCCAGGTTTCACTCCTTCAAGGAAAGCTTTTAGTTGTATGGAAGGCATGTCTTGTGTTCTACTGAGTGCAGAGCTCTCCCAACCCACAGAGCCCAGGTTTCCTGTGCCCTCAGTGTGCCCATTTCTCTGCTCCATCTTCTTGCAGCTTGTCAGTTCCTAGGAAAACTCAGTACAAGAGTGACTGCTGAGCCCCAGATGTGTGCTTGATTCTTTTTATTTGTTATGTAGCTTAAAGCTTTCCAACAATCTGGCAAGCCAAACGTTCTTATTGTTTCTTTACAGATGGGAGGCTCAGGGACATTGAGTCATTTTCCCCAGTGTCTCCTGGCTTGTAAGGACCAGAAGTAGGAAACAAACTAGTCCATACATTTTCCACCTACTCCCCTGCTCCATCATTACCTTCTGTGTCCTGGTCAGTAAGTCAGAGCCTTCATACTGCCCTCTAGTGACCAGCAGGGCCGCAGTAGAGGCTCAGACATCCTTAGGGGTCATTACTATGGCCTCCTCATTAGCAACTTTGAGGAATGTTAAATTTCACATTTTTTTTTAATCATTTATATGCATTCCCTGTGTCTTTTCGCAGTCTTTAGCTTTCATTTTCATTTTTATGGTGTTTTTTGATGCACAAGAGTTTAATTTAATACAACAAAAACTAACAACAATTTTGTTTGTGTGTAGACAAAAACCACTTTCTCATATAAATGGTTAAGCATATTTTTTCAATTTATTCTACTAAAATTTAAGTTTGGATTTTCACCACTAAGCATAAATGTACCTGAAATATATCTCATGTAAGAAATAAGATTGAAACCAAGGAATGGGAGGGAAGCATATATGTTCGGTGAAGAAGAAATAGCCTGTCAAAAAGAGCCCTAAAGTGGACACCCGGAGCTGATGGTGGAGGTAGGTAGAGGGCAAATGATCACGAACCTTGTCAGGCTGTTGTCTGTTAGAAGAAAGACAGCCAGGAGCAGAGACC